CCCCAGAATGCTAACACTTTTGTACCACCACCGGCCGTGCTGGCTCCGAATTCACGTAGCCTGAACAGCTCTTGTGAAATCTGGGCAGGAGAAGGCTGACTTCTAACACAGGGATGTCCAACCTTTGCAACTTTTAAGACTTGGGGATTTCAACTCCCAAAATTCTCCTTCCAGGTTCCCTTTGAGAGTTCCGACAACCAGGGCATCGTGTACACCTGGGTCGGCCGAGCTGCCAACCCCGATGAAGCGAAGCTGTCCGAAGATATCATGAACCACATGTTTGACGACTCGTACAGCAAACAGGTAAAGAGAACAAATGGAATATTTGTAACTCAGGGTTGAACTGTGGGGTCCTTGGTGCTCCCTGAACTTGTTTTCTTGCAGATGTTTCATGACCAAACTAGGTAACATCAGCAGGGCTAGAAGGGAGAGGGGTTTTGTGTAGTAGAGGAGGACGACGACTGCGGGCTCCTTGGTGCTCTGAGCTTCATTCTTTTCTTGTGGACGTTTCATGACCCAACTAGGTAGCAACATCAATGCTAAAAGAGAGAGGGGTTTGGGGGGAGGAGGAGGAGGAGGACTGTGGGGTCCTTGGTGCTCTCTGAACTTGGCTGTTTTCTTGCAGACATTTCATGACCCAACTAGGTGACATCATTAGTGCTAGGAGGAAGTGAGGATTGCTCCATATTTACTGTATATACTGTAGCAATCTTGACCACAACACTTCCTGGCCAGCAATCAACAGCCTAATGGAGGAACCACCGAGAGCCCCCACAGGGCAAGAGAGAGCAACCCTCTTCTAGCACTGATGATGTTACCCACGGTGGTTGGGTCATGAAACGTCTCCAAGAGAACAACCAAGCTGAAAGCAAGGACCCCACAGGTGAAGACAAGTCTGGGTGGGAAAACCCACCAGCAAATCTCTCCCACTTCCCTTCCTCTCCTCTCCTCACTTCTCCTTTCCTCCTTGGTTTGCAGGTGATCAATGAGGGAGAAGAACCGGAGAATTTCTTTTGGGTCGGGATTGGAGCGCAGAAACCTTACGATGGAGATGCCGAATACATGAACTTCTCCCGTCTTTTCAGGTGAGCCAGTGGGTCCCCTGGGGTGGATCCCTTCTTCCCGGGCAGGAGCCAAAACCCTCCCTCCCTTTGTACAGCTCTTCTTAATGTTCTCCGCTTTGTATTCGGCCTATGACTGTTTGTGAGTCAACTTACTGGCGAGATAGGCAGCATATCAATTTAATAAAAATAAAATAAAAAGAAATTTCCAGAGAAGGAGCTGCCCTTATTTCCCGAATTCGTCATCATCCAGCAAGATGAGTCTGAATTTCCTCCTGGGAGGAAGGAGACAGGGGTCCCTTCCTCCTCCTCCTCCTCCTCCTCCTGCTCTGAGTTCTTTTCCTGGCTTTCTCCCCCGCCCACCAGGTGCTCCAACGAGAAGGGCTACTTTGCGGTGTCCGAAAAATGCTCCGATTTCTGCCAGGATGACCTGGCGGATGACGACATCATGTTGCTGGACAATGGCTGCGAGGTCAGTCTGGGGCAGGAGCCGGACGGGGGACCCTTGGCCAGCTTTGGCCTCCAGCCGGCTGCGGCTTCTTGTGAAGTGGTGGGAACCAGAAGGAGACGCCTGCTGTGGTCTCCTCTGCAGAAGACACGCTCAGTCACATCTCTTCTTTCTTCTTCTTCCTCCCTCCCTCCTTCCTTCCTTCTTTCTCCTTCCTCCCTTCCTCCTTCCTCCCTCCCTCCTTCATTCTTCCTTCCTTCTTTCTTCTTCCTTCCTCCTCCTCCTCCTCTTCCAGGTCTACATGTGGGTGGGGACGCAGACCAGCCAGGTGGAGATCAAGTTGAGCCTCAAAGCTTGCCAGGTAACGGCCCAGAAGCGTTGCTGACCATTCAGGGTGGACACTGAAGGAAGCTCCGTGTTCCCCTCCTGCTTTGGCTTCAGCCCGGTTTTGCTGGCAGGGGAGGAAAGACCTCCCGTCTCCCAGACTTCTCCACTCTAAGATGCACAGGCAGTCCTCAACATACGACCGTTTGCTTAGGGACGCTGCAACCGTCATAAACACGAGTCGGTTGCTAAGGATCTGGACTTCGACCACGTGACCCTGGGGATGCTGGCAGAGGTCCTAGGTCTGAAAAACAATCCCTTCTTTTCAGTGCCGTGGCAACCTAGAACTGTCACTAAATGAACTGTTGTAAGTCGAGGACTGCCTGTTTGTACTCAATTTTGAAAGGTATGAGGAATTCAAGAAGTGACATATAGGTCAGGGGCCTCCAACCTTGGCCACTTTTAAGACTTGTGGACTTCAGTTCCCAGAATTCCTCAGCCAGCAAAGTTGGCTGAGGAATTCTGGGAGTTGAAGTCCACAAGTCTTAAAGTGGCCAAGGTTGGTGACCCCTGATATAGGTTATAAGGCCACGTTTTGAATATTTTTGTCAGGATTCCAGCAATCACCCTAATTAAATCGTGATTCTCGAGCCAACCTTCCAAAAACTTCCAAGGATTCATTAGAGGCGACCTACTGGCCCTGCCCTGTATGAAGCCAACTCTGGCCTACATCATTTACAGTCCCCTGTGACCCTGTTTCCCCCCTCCCCTCTGGGTGTGTCATAAATCAGATTCCCCAATTGAGCACCTTCATGGGCTGGGTGTCATCAATCACGTTCTCCAAACATATTTGCAGGCAAAAGCTCCGGTAGTTTAGCTACAGTCTTTTAAAGATAAAAGAGTTGGAATGTACTTTGGCTTTTAAACTGCTCTTCCAGATTTCCTTCCTCCCCCCCCCCTTTTTTATGGCAACTACTAACGTTGTAGGAGTTGACATTTTTCAGGGTACCTTTTCCACTTGCTGGCCTTGAACCGCTTTCCCTCCCTCCTCAGGTCTACATCCAGCACATGCGGTCCAAAGATGCCGGCCGGCCCCGGAAGCTCCGCCTGGTGCGCAAAGGCAACGAGCCGCTTCCCTTCACCCGCTGCTTCCACGCCTGGAGCGTTTTCCGGAAGCCGCCAGCTTAAGGGCGGCACCCGGTGCCCAACCTCAGGCCTCGCCTGCCACCCGCAGCAGGGCCCCCCCAGGGGGATCCCTCCAACAGATGGGCTTTGTAGTCTTGTGCCAGCACTGGGCGGCCCATCCCCTGCCCGCCACTGCAACGCGCTTCTCTTCGAGCTGCGGACTGGAGAAAAGGTTACTCGGGTGGGGGGGGGAGCCGAATTGCTCCCTCCCCCCACCCTCCCACCTCCCAAATCCTCCCCCTCCTGCTTCCATTCCCAATGCCAGTCAAAATCTCCTTTTCCTGTTTCCTCCCCAAGCTGTTCAGACGCCTGGCTTTCTCTCCTAGCCATTGTTACAGCCGAGAAAACTTGGTTTTCCTCCCCCCTCAAACCCTCCTTTGTTGCCCCCCAGATGCTCTCTGGAGCCCCCTCCCCCTGGCTCAGGAGCAGCAACCTTGCGCAGGCCAGGCTGAGGCCCAGGAGGGTCCCCTGCTTTTTTTGGGTGGGGGGGTGTCTCTGGCTAAGGCTTGCAAAGAGATTTCTGAATTAAGTTTGGAGCAGAAGCAGAGAAATTTAATGGAGGGGGGGGGGTAGAAGCCCCTGATCTGCAAACGAATGTAAGATCCTCCCACCCCATTTTCCACCACCACCACCCCCCAAGAAGGAAGAATTTCAGCAGGTGCTTTTGTGCTCCTCAAGGCCACCCCTGGCTAAAATTCTTTTATTATTATTTTTTACAACTACTAAAAGCACAATTCTCTTTTATTGCCTTCCGGTTGAAATGCCTGTCCTTCCTTCCTTCCTTCCTTCCTTCCTTTTTTGCACTGAATTACAGAGTTTAAAGCAAAAAAAAAACAACAAGCTTGATCACACAAACAAGGGGTGTCCTGCTTGCTCCTAGTCCTCAAGAGGTTTGGAAAAGCAGGTCTCTTGCCAACTTTCCGCTTTGCAGTCTGTTGCGGTGGCCCCCGTTCCTTCCTAGGTGCCGCCCTTTGGAAAGGGTGAGAAGAAGCCCCCGGGGGGTGGGGGGGGGGAGAACTTTTGTAAATGCAGGAGAAGTGGCACCCATTTTAAACCCAGCCTGGGTCAACTTGGTGCAGCATCAACATCTGCAGCGATTGCTACCAGCTGCAGAGTGCATGGCCAAACGCAGGCTAACTCCAAAACAGCAGCAGCGGGCAGGAATGCAACCGGCAAAGCGCAGGGTTGCGTCTGGCCTGGCACAAACACAGCGCAGTGGGCATCCATCCGTCCCAGGGCTTCACAAGCTTTCTTGTTAAGTTCTCAATAAAGATTGCAAAGATGGCCGTTTGTGAGCTGCCGCGTGGCGTCCTTCTCTTCTGACAGCTAGAAGCGCTCCCACCAATTTTTAGCGGGTTTCCTCCCCTCTTAGGTGCCAGTCCTCTAAACGGCGTTTCCCCCTCCTTGCCCCGGTAGCAGGAAAACGTCCGTATTTTGATGTTTACAAGCTGCACTTCCTCTGCTTCCTGCAACGAGGGGCGGTGAGAAACTAGACACGGAGAGGCTGCATTAGATAGTAAATGCTTTATTCTTCCTTTATTAAAAACCTGCATTAATTACTAAACAATGCTAAATCCATTCTCTGGACCAAAAAAAGGGGGGGAGATCCGAAGAGGACGTTCTACAGGAAAACTAGCCCTCCCTCCGTGGCTACCACAAAAAAAAAAAAAAGACTCACAATGGCACACGTCCAGACACCCACACAGACACCCGTCAGGTACCCACACACACACACAGAGCAAGGATCGAATCGTACCTTTCCACCCAAGTGGACTTTCAAAGGTCCCAAAAAAAAACTGGGGAGCCCAATTCTCACGTACATCCAAAAGGGGGATTTATTTCTTAAGATTTTGGCCCCACTTCTTAGCTTCCCCGCCATCTTATCCACCCTCCAGGGGAGTTTTCTTGGCACAAAAGCAGCCATGAGAAAAAGGAATCCTTCCCAGCAGAAAACGGAGCTTGAGGTCCTGCGACAGGCTCATCTTTTTGGCACAAGAAGTTTTCCCACCTCAGCGGGCAAACATGGAGGTGAAGCAGACAAGAATCTACCCCCGCCCCAGAGAAAGGGGTCCGTGATGCTGGGCAGCAGTTGGGAGAGGGGTGGGAGCACTGACTGGTGGGCCAAAGCCCCGTATTTTGGAGACAAGATCTCAGCAACGTACCCAAAAACGCTGCAGCTTTTGCACAGTGGCACACGCAGCTCATTCTTGCAAAGTCCTTTCTGTGGCTTGCAAAAAATCCCAGCAAGAGGTTTTCTAAGGCAGGAAAGACCCCCCCCCCCAAAAAAAAAAACACCCACGAACACCTTTGTGGTGGCATGCAGCGTGCCTTGGACTGGTGAGGGTCGGCAGCCGCTGCAGAAATTGGGATCATCAGGCAAAACTGGAGCTGGCTCAGCCAAATTCAGCACAGGCAGCCAAAGCCAGGATTTCTAATGGGGGAAGCTGGAGGTCGGGGGAACTGTACCCCGAGATTCGTCAGAGCTGGCCAGATAAAGAGAAGGGAAGCCCACCAAGGGGTCCCAAGGCTTTTGCTTCCTGCACTCAATGGAGGAGACCCTGCATTCTTCAGGGCACCCAGACCAAAATCCCATCCTGAGCTCAGCAAAAGCTCTTCACTTCCTAGACTCGGGGAGCCCCTTCTCGGGTTGAAAGACAAAGCGGGGAGGGAAGCACAGAAACGTAAGCCAAACTTATTTACCATCCTATCATCTCCTGGGATTAAGAGACAGACATCAGCTCTGTACCAAACCCAGTTAACTTTCCCTCCCCAACACTCCCCCCTCCCCAAAAAAACCCCCCAGGAAACTGGAACTTCAGAACGGAAAGAGGAAGCTACTTTGGCATTGCTAAATTAACCCCAAATCTACAAAACTCTTTTAAGTCACATTGGGCCCACAGACAGTTAGGAAGGAGGTGAGAGGTTTGCTCCTGTTTGCCCATCCAATTCTTGGAGAGGAAAGTGAATAGAAGGACTTGGAATTTCCCACCCCTCGTTGAACGTTCAAATAATGGAAGGAAAAGTGAAGGATATCAGAAAGGTATGATAGTATTTCTTGGACTGCTATCATTTCCTTGTGCAGCCCTGTGGCTTCCTATTTCACAGAATCGGCTTTGTGCTCGGATAAATACTCCCAATTAGAAATCTTGTGTAACGAAGAAATGGGGGTGGGGGAGTCTTCAACCGTTCCCTCCAAATTAAGAGGGAGGGAGGAGGAATGATAGTGAAGGAGAAGGAATGACGGTGGAAGAGAAGGAAGGTTGCTTTCCATCAGTGTCACCAAACGCTTTCCTCAAATCCGCTCTTGGCCTCAAAAAGTTCCCGCCAGCGAGCAGAAAATACTTCATTGGTCATTGGATCCAGGACAACTTTTCCCAGGGAGGTTGGCCCAACGATAACGGAGAGTTCTGAAGAGGACCGAGGATGTTCCAAGCAGAATCCCAGCCTGGGCAGCCACTCCCGCGTCCAGCAGGAGGCAGGTGGAGGGAACTGCCCAGCCAAATCCCCTCCCTCCGTCTTCTGTCCATCAAAAGCTCCTTTCCCCCCACCGGAGGCCCCGCTGGGCCAAAAGACCCCAATCCCTTTCTTAGTGGGGGGGGGGAGGAGGGGGGGGAGACCTCAGCCCAGTCATCCTCAAAGTGGCTTTTTTCTCCAAAGAAAACGCTTTTTAAAGTCCCCCCAAGTCTCTGTGCAATGGAAGAGCAGCAGACGCTCCGAAAGTGGTTCCCTCCAGGACGTTGGCACATTTTTCTGTTTTGTTTTTTTTCTCTTTTCCTTTTTTTACATATATATATATATATATCTCATCATCTATCAAAAATGCAAACTTGGAGAGAGAGGTACCCAGGAAGAGATGCCGCCTGTCCGCTTCCGGGCCAAGAGTTAGAAAAAGATCACCGAAAAAGATCACTGCTCTTTTTGTCCTTGTAAAAAAGAAAAGGAGGCAGGGAAGAGTCTGGGGTCCTCTGGAGAGGGAGGACCCGTAGCCCCCTTGCAAAGACAGCGAGAAGTCTCGGCCCCGAAGCTCCAAGCATCGCGTAGGACGGTGCAGGGTCCCTGCGAAGGAAGCAGTAGCACCTTAAAACAGGTTGGACAGAACACAGTCTCTCCCTCTCCCTCCCTCTCCCTCTCTTCCTCTCCTCCCCTCCCTCTCCCTCTCCAAACCCAGCCCTCTCTCCATCTTTTCTCTTTCCTTCCCGGCTGCCCTGGAAAAAGACACTGCACCTTTTATTTCTTCTCCTATCTCATTCCACATGGCAACACAGGTTGCCCTCAACTTATGACCAGACCGAGCCCCGAACGTCCATCGCTAAGCGAGACATTTCTTGAGCGAGTTCTGCCCCATTTTGCCACCTTTCTTGCCACGGTTGCCGAGCGAATCCCTGCACTTCTTCACGAAGTGACACAGTTGCTAAGCGAGTCGGGCTTTCCCGTCGACTTCGCTTGTCAGGAGGTCCCAAAAGGGAACCTCGGGACACGGCAACCGTCATCAGTACATGCCAGTTGCCAAGCGCCCAAATGTTGATCACATGACCGGGGGGGGGGGGGGGGGCGGGGAGGGTTGTGTAAAAAACGGTCCTTTTTTCAGGGATGCGGTAAAACGGGGGGTCCCCAACCTGGGCCACATTGAGACTTGTGGACGTCAACTCCCAGAATTCCTCAGCCAGCACAGCTGGGAGTTGACGTCCACGAGTCTTAATGTGGCCCAGGTTGGAAACCTCCGCTTCCAACGGTCACTAAATGAGCTGTTATGAATCGAGGACTACCTGCCGGAGGGAGTTCCTTTCTTTTCTGCAATCTTTGTTCGGCTGCCACAGACCCTCCTGCCCCAATGCCATCTTGCCCTCCCTCAGAACTTGCCCAGGCGGTCCTGAGAACGAGCTGAGCCCCTCCCTCATTTCGTTTTTTAAAAGGAAGAGCCATTTTCCCTGGACCTGCCTCATTTAATGAGGATCCCTGGAGATCTGGCCTCCTCCTCACTGATGTTCCGCAGGTTCCTCTCGGCTTCCTCGGAGGGCCTGGAACGAGAAAGGCAATCAAGACGGGCCAGGCCAGAGCAGGATGGCCCATTTCCAAGGGGCACTCAGACAAAGCCAGCGCAGGCCTAGGTTGCATTAACAGAGGGAACTAATCAAGATCACGTGAAGCCACCTTTATAATGCCTTGGTAAGAGAGACTACCCTTGGATTCTTGCATCCCATTTTGGTCTCCACGGCATAAAAAAGATGTTGAGAAGAGTGCAGAGAAGAGCAACCAAGAGGATTACGGGGCTGGGGGATAAAACGTAGAAAGAACGGTTGCTGGAATTGGACAGGTCCAGTTTAATGAAAAGAAGGACCAGGGGAGGCATGATAGCAGCCTTCCAATATCTCAGGGGCTGCCCCAAAGAAGAGGGAGTCAAGCTCTTCTCCAAAGCACCTGAAGGCAGGACAAGAAGCAACCGGTGGAAACTAAGCAAGAACAACCTGGAACTAAGGAGGAATTTCTTGACAGTGAGAACAATTAATCAGTGGAACAATTTGCCTCTGGAAGTTGTGGGTTCTTCATCACTGGGGCTTTTGAAGAAGAGCTTGGACCACCAATCTGCCTGAGCAAGGGGTTGGACTAGAAGATCTCCAAGGTCCTGTCAGAGTCTATGCATGAACTGGAACAGAGCTGAGTAACAAGGTCAGCCAATGAGAGCTGAATTGAGGGCTGAAACTTAAAGAGAGAATCTGGCCTTGGTTTATCTCTCTTCTGTGCTCAGCTCTAAAGTGAAAGCGAAATTAACTTGCTTGCTTGTGTGCTGAAGTTGAGTTGCTTGTAACAGTCTGCTTCTGTTTGAGTTTGCTCCATGTTGGAGAAATCTACAACTGGTATTGTAAAATTTACTTTAGATTTATAAAGAAGTTAAATGAAGCCTCGGCCATCTTTGTTTACTTTTCTGGCGCTGAATTTACGCTGCAATACTCTGAACAGGTCCCTTCCAACTCTGTAAAGGTTGCCTCTAGACTAGTTGGTCCTCTGCAGAGGTGGCAGGCATGTTTTTACCTCCAGGTTGCTACCCAAGAACAGAGACTTACGCCAAGTAATCCTTCACTTCTTCGACTGTAATGTCTCCCGTGGTATTTAAGGGGGTGTCAATGCTGCTGTCAGGGGAGTCAACCGGCGTTGAGGCAAACAATGCTGGGTGGTCTTCAGGAGACCCTGAAAGTAGAAAAGGAGAACTTTGCAATGTTGGAATAAACATCCAGAATTCAAATTTAGCCTTCTCTGTCTTTAAAACACTTCAATCTTTGGGACTGGATCCATTGTAAAACTTCCCTCAAAACTTTCTGAATGCCATGAATGCAAACTAAAAGGATATTTCCGAGGCAGAGGGAGGGAAAAACAAACCCCTTTTATTTTATCAAGAGAGTCCTGGAATTTCCTTCAAGACTTCCTGAAATTATCTTTAAAACATGCAAAACTGTAGAGTGATTTTTCTCAGGGAGGCAGACCAACATTCAAGGTCAGCCAGGCAGGGAATGAAACATCTGCAAGCAAACTTTAGGGCAGGGCCCCCCAAAACTTGGCAACTTTAAGACTTGTGGACTTCAACTCCCAGCTCTGCTGGCTGGAGAATTCTGGGAGTTGAAGTCCACAAGTCTTAAAGTTGCCAAGTTTGGGGGGCTCTGCTTTAGGGGGTACCAAGAACTCCACAGTTCAGCCCTCAGCCGCAGAGATTCTTTCATTGAGACAAATAAATAGGCCAAGATTTCATTTTATCAGAAGTTATGACAAAACCAAGGGTTTGCAGAGACTTCAGACTGCCCAACTAAGGCTGAACCAGCTTTGAAACACACACACACACACACACACACTCCTGCAAACAACTTGGACCCCAATGCCATGGAAGTCTCACACCAGTCTGCCCAAATATCTGGAAAGGTGTTTTCCTTACGATCGTTGCTTGCAGGGGAATGATTAGCCTCTGATCCTTGTAAAATATGCGTCCCATTGGCCTGGCTTAGTTTTGGTGTTGCTGTGAAGTTATTTCTGTAATAAAAGAAGGAAAGAGCAGCTATGAAATGCATTTCTCGCAATGTGAGACACACAACAAAGCAGGCGGGGTTGTGATCCCCGCATCACGGCCACCATTCCGCTTTTTGGACCTTGTGAATTTCCCTGCTTGAAGCTGTGAGGTGGGACGCGGCCGGCTTTAAACCTCTCCCTGTTTTAGGGTCCTAACCTGGATGGCTCCCACCCCACATCCAGCAGAATTGCCCTCCGGGTGTGGACTGCAGCCGTCACAAAGTGGGACAGATGGCAAATCAAGCCCCCATCCCACCTGGGTTGTTTTTTCTTTCAATCTTCCACAAAATGCATCCAGTTACAGCTTGACTTTGAAGCCCAACAATCTACTAGCCCTGTTTCTTTGAGTTCAGTTATTAAGTGCAAAGCTGTTTTGGGGGATACCTCCTGCCTCGTGAGTAGTGAGAAATGTGCCAGCTGTACAACCTTTGGGGTTTAACCTTGCCAGCGCTTTGCCTTGGCAGAGATCCTTCTGCACCAAACCTCCACCCCCCCCAGAGAGGCTCAGCTGGACTTGCAAAGCCACGGCGATGCCAGGCGGGTTCCCTCACCCTGGAGAAAGGCTGTCGTGGGTGCGGCTTGTCTCCAGCACACACAGTGGCTCGGTGATGCTTCTAGTGCTCAAGGAGAAGCGTTCGAATTCTGACGGAGAGATCAGATAGAAGCCTGCAAAAGGAAGATGAAAGAGATTTCCGCTTGCAGGTCTCTCTGCCCACAAATATTCACAGCAACTCAAAAGTCTGGGAATGACCTCTTCCCTCACCCACTTTGCATCTGGCAGCCCCTGATCCATAAAGATAAACTTCTTCCAGCCAAGGAGGCTCAGTTTGGCTGCTGGTTAACTCCTCTCCCTTCAGCAGCCCATCCGGTCCTCATTCAACGACGGCCAGCATCTCAAGAGGATTTGCCTTGTTCATCTGAGCCTTGCAGGGTTTTTGAAATCAATTCTTCACAGTTTTTTAATTCTTACTTGTACCTTGTAAATTTTAGCCTTGTTCGTCACTTGAGTTTTACCTGTGCTTTTAAGACATGTTTCGATCTTCCTTTATTATGTCATTTGTCAACCACTTAAGTGAAGAAATTGGATCAATAAATAAGCTTAAAGCCACCAGCACATCTGGAGGTAGACATTTCCACCTCTGAATGATCTGCAGCTGGAATCTCTCCCCAAAGCGCCCTTGTCAATCCTCTGGGCATCTCCCTCTTGCTCTGCCCATCATTTCAGATACTTTCCTTTTTTTCTTTTTCTAACATATGTAAGTATTTAATAAACAGTTAACCCATCCACTTCTGCACAGTCTAATATTTTTTTTGATTATATTTTCATCTGAAGGAATTTCCTCATTCTTCCGATGTTGCGTCATGCCCCTGTCAGAATCTGATTTGGAGGGGGAGCCGCTGTCAGGGAATGGGAGTGTGGCTCCGGTGGCTGTGGAAGAAACTGTGGAAGGGCACAGTCTGGCTAGGCAGAACAGGGGAGAGATAGAGCAAGGGAGAGGGAGGAGGAAGACCCAGACCCAGGAAGACCCCCTCTTCATCCTAGGGCACGCAGGGAGGAACGGAGAAGGGAGCAACGTGGGTTGCGTGGCTTACGGGGGAGGAAAAGGCCCCGATTCCCTTCATTAGCTGCAGCTGGGAACACAGTGTGTAAAAAGGGAAGCTGCGCACAGCAAGTTGTTGGGAGCAAATCATGAATTTATCTGGTATTGTTGAGGCTTATCTGGGTTCCTGATGTCTTCCCAGCTGTGTGTGTTTTGTTGGCCTTTCAAATCTGCAATTCCTTCTGTCCTGTCCTGTCAAGTTAATTACTGCAACATGGTTTGTGTGGATTTTTATTTACAGTTTGTATGTACTTTGTTTTCAGACTGAATTTCCTCCACTTAAAGACTGTTATTGGAAGAGTTTTTTCCCCAGCTGAAGGTAACCTGGACATTGGGGGCAAAGTTGGTGGCATCAAAGGGACTCTTCTTGCTTATTTGACTGTGTTGCCTTTGTGCCACGCCCCTTGGGGTCATCACAGTTGTGTAAATACAATTCTTGCTGCCGTCAAAAAACATTTTCAGACGTTTTCAAAAAGCGACCCACAAAAACCGTCTGGTTGAAGCTGTGCCCGGGTGCCTCGAGGCCTTCAGGCGTTCGCCCCCTTAGCCCCATCCACCTCCCAGGGCACCTGCCACCCCCGGCTCACCTTGGCCGTACTTGGTGAAGACGCAGGAGGCGATGCCGCTGATGTCCTCCTTCCGGATGCAGTCGTAGTGGACCTGTGGCCTCAGGCTGGGCACCGTGAAGACGTGGAGGTCGCCCAGGTTGGTGAGGCAGGCCAGCCCATTCTCCGAATAGTCGTCACAAGTGGCGCTGGCAAAACTCATCAGGCCCACTTTACGGACGCGGCAGCCCTCGTGGGCCGTCAGCTTGAATTTGGTTTTGGCGCTGACTTTGGGGAGGGTGAAGACCTGAAATCCGGGGAGAGGAGGAGGAAGAGGAGGGTGGATTTAAGTTTGCTTCTTCTTGGACGTCGGCCATGATGACCAGTGGCCACATTGATCTGCGCCAGAAGTCTCCAAGCTTGGCCACTTTAAGACTTGTGGACTTCGACTCCCAGAATTCTCCAGCCAGCTGGCTGGAGAATTCTGGGAGTGGAAGTCCACAAGTCTTAAAGCGGCCAAGTTTGGGGACCCCTGATCTGGATAATCGGTTCAGCAGAGAAGGAAATTATTCTACAACGCAGGTAGTCCTTGGACTAGGATTCATTTAGTGGCCGTTTGAAATTACAGCAGCACTGAAAAAAGTGACCGATGACCGTCATGGCATCCTTACGGTCACATGATCAAAACGTGGATGCTTGGCAACTGGCATGTACTGCGCATGTTGCAGAATTCCAAGGTCACAAGACCTTCCCAGCCATCTTCGGATAAGCCAATCTGGATTTGCTTCATGACCAGGTGATTCACTTAACAAGTGCTGCGATTTGCTTAAAAACCCCGGCCAAAAAAGGGCCATAAAATCAGGTGTGACTCGCTTAATAAACTGCCTTGCTTAGCGATGGAAATTCTGGTCCCAATTCTGTAATTCGAGGACTCCCTGTAGCAGAAAAAACCCAGTTCAGAGGGAGGGAAATGCTTCCCGTCCTCCCTCTGAATGGCCACTCCCTTGTGGAGCCCTTTTACACTCTATTGTCACAGTAAGAAAGCACGGCAAGGCTACTGAGATGCAACACAAGACAACGAGGCTCCACCGAGAACATCTAGACGTTCCCCCCCCCCCTCGCCCGGGAGTTACCTTGAACTGCTCTTCGGAAGCGATGAGCACCGAGTGGCTGCCCTGCATGTCGGGGGCCTTGGCCAGGTCCCGAGAGACCTCGTAGGGTTCCGGCAGAGGGTTCCCTCGGCCGTCCAGGACGGCAATCGAGACCACCGGGGCCCGGTGCATGAGCTGGATTTCCTTGCCCAAGACCGCCTCCACCGAGCGCTCTGAAAACTTCTCCTGGGAAGGGACCTCCATGGCGTAGGCAAAGACCGAGCCCGAGTTGGTGCCGGCCCACATGGTGGGTCCATGATGTGCAGCTGCAGAAAGACAGGAGGAGACCCTGAGGGGCTGCCCTGTGCCCCCCTCCCCAGCCTCTCTGCAAGCAACGCACCACAGTTCCCATCCCTCACAACCCGCGAAGCCCCTGGGACTCTGCTCGGGAGTCTAAATTGGGCCACGTCTCCCTCCGTCTACACTAACTACTTCGTGGAGGACACTTTTCCCTTGGGGGGGTCACCGTCTTCCATCGGGGTCCCTTCCTTACCATCTCGGAGGAAGGTATCCGCAAAATAGAGGCAACGCACAACCCCGGACAGTGAATCGTCCGCTGAACGAGGCTCGATCCGCCGCTGGACGGGGGCCATCTCCACCTCGTGGGGACCAGGTTGCTCAGCGAGGTGGGCATTGGCTTCCTGTACCTGGTGGGGTAGGAGGAGAAGCAGGTGAGGCAAGGCCCGGATCCAGGCCACCCTCTAGGACAGGAGACCAAGTTCTCCGTCCACGAAAAGGCCTCCTCCATTTCCTTCTTCCTTCAAATGATGGCGAGTCCTTCAGTTGAGCCGAGTACAGTGTCCGTCCCTCTTCCCTCCATGGCATTTGGGGTGGGGGAAGAAGTTAACTTCATCTTCTCCAAAACTTCCTGAGGAAGGTTAAATGGAGAAACCCCCCAAATAGTAGAGGAGAGAAGATGGGCCACCACAGACGTCCATACTGACCTTTTTAAACTTTAAGGTGGTACAGCAGCGTTTCTCAACCTCAGCAGGTTGGAGGATAGGTGGACTTCAACTCCCAGAATTCCCCAGCCAGCATCCCTCCACCCTTCTTCTCCTTCTGCTTACCTTACTGGAGGGGCTACTGGCCGTGACTCTCTTCTTGCCCGACACGCGGCTCTTGCGGATCCTACGGAAGGACTGGCGCAGGGACTTTTTCAGGGACTTCACCCGCGAGAGGGGGCCCTCCATTGCGAGAGAATCGTTGGGGTGCAGGGTGCACCTGTCAAAAGGGAACACTCCGTCATCAACCGTCACGATCAGCAGGCCTTCAGCTGCGGACACGAATCCGAGGGGCGGGGGGTCGACTCCTTTTCTGGAGTCCCAAAGATGCGCCCCCGGCAGAGGTCTCTCTCTACCTGGCCAGCACAGGGTTCCGGCGGTAGTAGTCATAGAGGCCAAAGCCGTGGCTGGTTCCAAAGGCCACCAGGTTCCATTCTGAGTGCAGGGTGACAGCCGTGACAGCTGCGGGGGGCAGGCACTGCAGGAGGACGCTGGGCTGGAAGCCAGGGGCGAAGGAGAGGGCGCCATTCTTGGGGGGCAGCCGGTCGTGCCCCTTCCACGTGAAGCCTTCGCGGTCTTGGAGTAGGTCCACCACAGCGATGTTGACCATGTGTTCGGACTTCTCATCGTTAAACTCCATCACCAGCACCTGCCAAAGAGAGAAGAAGCCCAGATAAGTCCTGGACGCCGATTCACTCTGGAGTTGACCAAGATTTGTGAACCTGAACACAATTATATTCACACGTTGACACAACTCAAGTTCTCTTTCCAGGATTAGGACTCCTCCCTCGGACAGGGGGTTGGACTAGACGACCTCCAAAGGTCCTTTCAGCCCTATGATTCAATGGCTATGGCCCTTAAGGCTCCTTGTGAGCTCCGATACTTCAAGCAACTCCACCGTTCTCTCTTCTTGTGCCTAATTTCTGAGGCATCACAGATCTTGTTCGCCCTTAAATAACTCCATCACACTTTCTTCTCTTCTTCTGATAGTACCTCCACCAAATACCCACAAGGCTCCATCAAGTAACTTCTCCATCTTCTCCCAAACTTCAACCACTACCCCCAATCTGTGATTTCTGTCTTCTATTATTTCCAAGTCTTCTCCATCTGACTTGAGAAGGCCACTAGTGGCGCTTAGGATGGTGAAGAAGGAGCTACAGGTTTCTGGACAGGAAAGGCTGGATTGTGGAGGAACACCCCCCCCCAAAAAAAACCCAGATGCACCACAACTGTTACCTGCCCTGCCGTGCCAGCAACCACCATCTTAGCCGTGTATTTGCACAAGGCGATTTTCTGGACACCCAGCCGGGGGTCGTCACTGTAAGGGTCAAAGCAGCCAACCTGGATGAAGGTAGTAGGTTGTCCCCAAAGAGGTGGAAGAAAAAAACAAAGTCAGATCCTGCACACAGAAAACAGACACGGCCTTCCTTGCAGGTAGAGAGTCCAAAGATGGACCTTCTGACTCCATCATCATCAACAGAGACCTTCTGGGCCAAGGATGGGCCTCCAGATGCCGCCAAACGACACCTCCCAGGAGCCCACTGGTGATAGACTTCAGCAAGACCTGCCCAGGGCTGGACCATCCACCGCACCCCCCCAATGATTTCGTAGCCGGGGGCTTCCCTCCTCCTCCCCCCGCACAAACGGGAAGCAATTGAACCCGGGGTTTGCCAGCACCTTCCGGAAGGGGGGCCATTCCTCCTCGTAGGATTGGTTCAAGCTGTCGTTGTGGTCACAGTCCATCTGGAAGATGTTGGCCGTGCCCAGCTTGAAGAGCGGCTTGAGGGACACTCCAGAAGCGTCCCAGAAGCGCACCGTGCCATCTTCGTGCCTGGGGAGGGGAAAGGCAGCAGTGGAAGGGTGCCGGGGCCCGTTCTGGCAACCGCTCCACAGCCGCAACCTGTTTGGGCTCTTTTATGACTCGCAGGAGGAATTTAATCTTTGCTCGCGGCCAACAGCGTCAAGGTCTCCACTTCTCCACTCAGGAGTAGCATTCCTCCACCGTCGCCTCCTCCTTGGCCTCCTCCTGGCTTGGCCAACTCAGAGACCCTCCACCTGACACCTCCCAAGGGGGATTACATAGGTAGTCCTCAACTTATGACCATAATTGAGCCCAACGTTTATGTTGTTAAGTGAGACATTTGTTCAGTGAGTTTTGGCCCGTTTTTAAGACTTTTCTCGCCACGTTTGTTCAGTGGATCGCCACAGTTGTTAGCTTAATCACATGGTCTTTCAGTGAGTCGGCTTCCCTGTTGACTTGGCTTGTCAGGAGGTTGACAAAGGGGATCACGTGACCCCAGGATGCTGCAAACCGTCATAAGTATGAAAAATGGTCCTAAGCCCCTTTTTACAGTGCCGTTGTAACTTCAAGTGGTTACGGAATAAACTTTTGTAAGTCGAGGTCTGCCTGTGACTGCTCTTTCTCTCCCTCTCTAGGACCCCACCAGGACTTCAGGCCACCCTTCCATCGCAGGCCTTTCCTAGCACAAAAACTGCCCCCCACCCGGTCTTTGGCTCCACCCCCTGACCATGCTCTCCCCCCTCCCCCAAACCCTCAAGGGCTTTGCTGGCATCCCGGCCGCCTGGCCAAGCGCCCTCCTGCGAGGGACCTTCTGCAGCAGCTGCTGGCAACCGTGAGGATGGCCACTTACCCGGTCAAGAGCAGCCCCCTCTGGGTGGGTTCCTGAGCCAGAGGCCGCCCTCCATCGATGGGCCAAGGCTGTTTAGGGCACAAACACACACACACACACACACAGCTTGCTTTGGCTCACATCCATGTGGTCCACGCACCACAAAACCTTAAGAGAATCCCCCACGCCGAAGATGGAGTGGGAGGGTCGGCCGCTTCTGGCCAGGCCCCTCCTCCCCCACCAACCAGGCCCCCTCCCCCCAAGCTCTGGGTTTGGCAGAGAGGCTCCTTCCCCCCTTTTGACCCCGGAGGTAAACGAGCCCCCTTCCCCCAACTCACCACCGAGGAAAGGCGGGGGTTCTGCTGTTCACCGGCGCAGATGATCCTCTCCCACAACTTGAGGGGCACGTTGGAGATGTGGTAGGAGCAGGTGATGGCCGAGGAGTGGAGAGGGGCCAGGTAGGGCGAGGGGATGGTGGGCCAGCCCGGCGTCTGCAGATCAATCACCACCAACTCTTCTTCCACCAGAACCACCAAGGCGGCTGGGTTGTCAGATTCTGGGAACCAGCCGATAAAACACACCACCTGTCACTGAGGCTTCTCAGGGCAGGGAGACCAGGTTGGGTCAGAGGAAGGGCGGGGGGGGGGGGAGGATTGACAAAACTGACAGCCAGGAGAGAAGAAGAGCCTGGTGGAAGGAGGAGGAGGAGGCTGTTCTGACTCAGGCTTGGTAAACCGTAATTATTCACAAACTTTGTTTTAAAAACAAAACCTATTTTATTGCAACGCTGGGAATCGTTTTCATTCCCAGCCGGAACTAATCTTAAACAGTTCCCCAAGATAAGCACACCCCTTTCAGTTCCGTGAAGTGCTGCCAAAATAGAAGTATCAAATTAACTAGAAAAAAAAAACCAACTGAAGTACAAGAAAAAAACTAACCGAAGTACAAAGAGCTTCAAGGAGGACTCAGAACTGATCAAACTACTTTGCTTCCTGCAAAGGTTTTGTCACCTTGGCCTGATTTTTATCCCTTAGGGGAGGGGCAATCACCTCCCAACCTTACTCCCCTTCTGCTTCAGCTGCTCTCGCCTTCTAGCAGCTCTGCGCAAAAGGGCTCTGGGAACAGGCTCCCCTTATTCCTCTGCCTTGCTGCTGCCAGACTCCGGAAGCTCTGGAGGCAGCACCCCACTCCCAGATGGTCCTGGCCCCATCTCTGCATCAGACCCAGGACCCTCATCCGAGTCTTCTCCAGACTCCCTGACTGGTCCCCGTTCTTCCCCACTGTCCGATTCCACTGCCGTCTGCCGATGGACCACACCAGAGGTCTCCCTTTGAAAACCTGCAAAACGCTCCTGACGAAGAGCGACAGGGACTTGTCCAAAGTGCAGAGTTTAAATCAGGGGCATCCAACCTTGCAAACTTGGAAGACCTGTGGACTTCAACTCCCAGGATCCCCCGGCCAGCCGTTCTACGTACCCTCCTCTGCCTCTAGGCTGCCCACCGTGAAGAAGTCAATCACCCGCGAGGTGAAGTCCAGTGTCACCAAGGTCTGGCCCTGCAGGATGGACACACAGTGCCTGTCCCCATAACTGGCCCGGGGCATCCCTCCGCTGAAGATGATGAAGTGGCCCCTTCGGAGAAGAGGAGGAAGCAGAGGTCAGTCATTCGGGGGTGCAGCGCTTCCTTGTTCTGCCCTCCCCAAAGACGGCTGCAGAAATTTGCAGGATGCCGGCAGTTCTCAATTTATGACCATAGCAAAGCCTGCTCATTGTGGCCATTAATTAAGTCACGATGGTTTTAAAATGGGCTGGTCGCCTGATCAATATGATTTTATGGTATATATACATACATACATACATACATACCATACATACATACATACATATCATGGCATTGCCGTGGGCACCATTTTGCTGAAAACCTCTTTTTTGGTTAAAAACCCATAAAACTGCCACGTGACTGGGCTGAGGGGAGGAGGGGGTGACCGTCAGAACTCAGAATCCGGATCATAAGACGGGAGAGGAGAAAAGCCGGCGGGGAGAGAGACAACTCAAACGCAACGCACCCCGAGTCGCAGTTCTGCCACAGGACTTTGGTGATGGCTTTACAAGGGAAAGGACCTGGAAGGGAAGAAGGCAGAGGTTGATCGGCATCCGAGGAACGAGGAAAACTTCCCGCCCCTCGAAAAGGCGCTGGTCCTCATGGAAAGCCCTTATTTCGGTCCTCCTCAACCTCGGCAACGTCGAGATCTCTGATGTTCGATTCCCAGAATTCCCCAGCCAGCAACGGGGAATTGGGAGGTGGACAGCTGGCAGAGGGGAGAGGGGAAAGGAGGGTGGGTGCCTTATTTGAAGGAGTTTGTGCTGAAATCAGCGGGGAGCAGAGCGGAGAAAAGTTCTGAGGGTCCACCTCTACATGGAACAGTAGCCATGCTGAGCCCAGGATCGCTCTGGACCATCAACGAAATCCTTACATTCACTGAGTAGAAGGAGCAGGGGAGAAATGAGGAGCTTTGGAGGGCAGTGGAAATCTCTGTCCAGCGGGCATAATTTAGCTCCCACAATGGTTAAATGTTGGCCCTCAGTTTCTCTAGACCTGAGATCCTCCCTCTGCTTGGTGACCTGTAGGTAGGCTGATCTTCTGGGCTTTGGGACAGGAGATCAAGGCCTCCAGATCCAACCCTCCTCCTCCTCCTCCAAGGGACCCCAGATGAGCCTCACCATAAGGGACGGTGGAAGTTGTGGGCTGCAGGGTCTTGGGCGAACCGATTGCCATCGACCACAAGGCGTAGCCCCCATCGCTGTGAGAACTGACCAGCGTCCGGCCACTCCGCTCCCAGCTGACACTTTCCAGTTGCTGCAAAAAAGCCGCAGACCCAAGCTAAGCCATCAAGCCTTGGGCACAGGGAAGAAAAAGAGGCTGAAAGGAGACCTGCCAGTCAAGGTTGTTTGGCTACAAGACATGTCGAGAGCCCCCTACTGGGTCCCTGGAGCCACTGCAGACTTTTAAGCCTGGTTACCCGAAGGGATCGGCTTCTAATCGTGGGTAATCTGTGAAGGCCCTTCCCCCTGTTCCCTTTAACTCCCGCTAATCTCCCCTAATGGCCTGTTTCAGCTCCTCGGCTGGCAGGAGAGATTCCTTAGCTCCGTCCCACCTAACTTTGGAAAACTTCCTGCAAAAAGAGAGGCAGCTAGGAATCCGGCGTGAGGAAGACTCCGTCCAGCCCAGCCAAGCCACCTACCTGGTTGCCCAAGAAAAGATGATGAACTTCTCTTGAGCTTCTGTCCCACAGGACCATCAGGCCTCTGCTGTATCCGATGAGGATTTTGGCTGAGTCTTGAGGATGTTCCTGAAGAGACTCCACTGGCCCAAGGGCCTTCCCACATCGGTAGTCTTCAGGCACGCTAGGAAGGTGAGAGAAAGATGCTTCACCTGGGGCCTCCCTTCCCAAGGAATTCAGGAGGAATCCTGGAACCTGAGTGACACGCGGGGCCCTTCTGCAGGCGGGGCCTCACTGGGTGCATCAGCAGTGAGGACAGAAGAACCCTCTGGGAAAAGGACCTCACACCATGAAGACCCTTCATGCTGGCAGGGTCCAAAACGATGAAGAAACACAGAGGCATATGTGTCTTCCTACGACTGACCCACCATATCTGAAGGACATCCGTTAGACGTTCTGACCCGACACCACCAGCAGCCTTCTGGAAGGTCTCTGACATGCGCTGAGCTCTTCTTGTTCTAGCATCTCATGTCTTCACCCACTGATCATGTTCTCCTGCCTGCCCATCTCCCCGCCCAGGTGGACCTCAAGCCCTGGCTTTCTTCAGAGCCGCTCACCTCTGCAGGACTTCGTCTTGGTACAGGGTGTTGTCCTCCAGCACCGTTAGACCAGGAAGCCCCAGGAAGTAGATGCCACCCCCTTCTGTGCCAAGGTACGCCATGCTGCAGGTGGAGCCCAGGAGGATCACCGTCACCCGGGTGATGCTGGGAGGAGAACTGTGCGGAAGAAGAAAGAAAGAGGACCCCCTTGTAACCAGGACGGTCGTGGCAGCTGGATCCTCTGGCCAGCCGTTTCCAGAATCATTTGGGAAAGTGATTTCGGGACAGTTGGGCAGCTTTGCAGCTGAGGGTGCGCCACTGATGGATTCTGTGGTGTCTCTGGCCCTTCCCTACAGCATGAGCTGCATGGAAAGATCGATCGAGGCTCCTTCTGGCAACTTGGTCCTTCCAAACAGAACCCAGAAGAGCCCATTCTGCAAACGCTCGTCCCAGATTGTGGCACCTACCCCCACCCGAGTGGACATTCTCACCCCAACAAAACCCAGTGAAACTGCTAGATCCTCGTTGCACAGATGGGGAACCAGCACCCCAAAGGTGATTTGCAAGGAAAAGCTGCCTCCCTCAACACATCCCCTCACCCAGGTGTGTCATTGTGCCAGCAATGCCCGGGCACAAAGTGGTGGAAGATCAGGGTAGCATCTCCTCTCCTTCCTGCAGCCCCACCCTCAACCGCGCTTTCCCCTCCCCCCTTGCAAAATTTGGAGCAGAAAGAACCTTTTGCCCCCTAGATCCCCCACAGCCTCCTTTGGGGCTCTGCCTTGTCCATCCAGCCGGACTTCCCCCCCTCTCCTGCAGAGAGCCAAGAAGGGACCGGAAAGCGGGTAGGAGGGGGTTGGAGGGAGGGGGTTGGAGGCTGAATACTCCCTCGCCCTTTTGCTGAGGGTCCCTGGCACCCCCAACCAGGAAGGAAGGAAGGGGGAGGGGGGGCAGAAGCCATGAGTACTTAGCGTTGTCGAACCCTGGCCGTCCGGGGAGGATGAAGCTCCTCGTCTCCTCCAGGTGGGAGTAGCCGTCTTTCTGGTAGATGTCCCACAGGTGCAGCGTGTTGTCATCCAGAAGGGAAAGCAGGAGGCCCTGCAGGAGTTGGAAGGGGGGCTTTGAAGGCATTCTCAAGGGCACTGCCAAGCCTCACCACTGATTCCTATCCTGCCTTTATTATTTTTACAAATAACTCAAGGTGACAAATATATCCAGCTATTCCTCCTCTTTTCCCCCCATAACAACCACCCTGTGAGGTGGGCTGGGCTGGCCCAAAGACAGGACTAGAACTCACCCATCTCCCAGGTTACTAAATCCAACCTTGGAGCGCCTCTATTACCATTTATTTATTTCCCGGGTGTTTATTGTTTTAATGTTTCAAATTGTCTTATAATTTTACAGTTGTAAGCCTCCCAGAGTCACTTAGTTAGGTTGGGCAGCTGCGGAAATTGAATAAATGAATAAATTAACACATTAAATAATTCAAACAGCTGCTAACACGATTACACCCACTTTCTGAACTCTGATTCGGAGGCTCAGTCTAAGCAGCCACACACACAAGGCCCTCAAGGGTCACTGCAACCTAACCCACCAAGCAAAACCCAAGTCTTTAATTAAATTTAATTTTTTTACCTGTCCAGGTAGGAAGTGCATCTGAGTGACAGTTGCCGTCTCTTTGTGCAGCCCCGTGAACTCCACCCCAGGAGCACCGTAGCTGAAGGAGGCCCAGAGTCAAGGAAGAGTCTCGCCAAGGGAAAAGGAAGCACCCAGCCGGCACCATCTCTGCAGTCGTGAGAAACCTCCCAAGCTGAACATCTCCAGCCGTGGACAGCGGGAAGCTTTGATGAGAGCCGGTGGGTGCAACGCACGAGCACAGTTATGACCAAGGCTTCCAAGACCGTAATTACGCACAAGCTTATTTTAAAAACAAGTCTTGTTTTATTGCTACACTGGGAATTATTTTCATTCCCAGCCGGCAATGAATCTCAAACAGTCCCTCGAGATAAGCACCCACCTTTCTTTCCTGTGAAGTGCTGCCAATAGCAGAAGTGAACTAGAAAAAAAA